TCAAGTTATTAGTTATTAACACAAGGTTGAAGTTGTATTTATCAATAAACAAATCTAAAATAAGTCAAGTGATCATAGAACATTACTATATCGACTTTATATATAATTTTAGAACTCGATGAGCCTAAGTGGCAACTTCGCATGTTTCGCAATCTTACGTGACAAAATATTATGCTTTGTTTTATACCAAATAACATAGATTCAGATTACCATATACACATATACATATATTGAATGTATATATATCATTCAATATAAATCTATTTATTATCTTATTTTTATAATCTGCATGTAATCTTATTTTCTAAATTATGTGTTGTAAATAATAATATTAAAAATAAAATTAACGATGTATACAAAATTAACATTTATAATGTAAAATAATATTATTAATCCTTTTAGTTATTTATTATAAATTATTATATATTATTCTTTATTTATTTTTTCTAACTTCAACAAATGTATATATTCTTTTGTTTTTATTGTACATTTAATTATTTTATCAACAACTCATGGGATACATGAGTATTGTACTAGTAAATATAAATAAATAATAAAAAGCTCTATTAATTTAGACCACCAATTTAAAATAATTTCAAATATCATCATAGTGAAATTCATATTTTAGTAGAGTACATTATTACATATTTTCATTTTATTCCAAAAATTGCCTAAAAGGGCCAAACCCAACACGCAACTCATCCCCCATACCACGCTTACAAAGTAAAACCAATCTCAGCCGTCCATCGCCCATCTTGCCCGCACGCTATTAAAACCCACCGGTCCACACACCGCAGTAAATTTCATCGTATTTCATTTTTACTAGTGCAGTACCCGTGCGATGCACGGTGGGCGCATAACTTAAAACACATTGAAATACTTAGTTTAAATGTAATTAATTTACTTTAACATATATACTTTATGGAAACACAATAAGAATAAAAAAGAAATTATATATTATTAAAAACTTCTCTGTACACAACATTATTTGTTTGATTTGGAGGCAACTCATTTTCACCACATATTAGAATTTTCAAACCCTTTCTGTTGGTGACGCGCGAAACAGCAACATATAACTGGCCATGACTGAAAACTGGTTTCTTCAAGAATAAACCAACATGCGATAAGGATTGGCCCTGACTCTTGTTAATAGTCATTGCATAAGAGACCACAACAGGGAACTGCCTTCGTTGAAACTTAAAAGGTATTCTTGCATCCGAAGGAGTTATCGTCATCCGAGGTACCAACACTTTTTCACCTGCATGGTCGCCCGTTAGTATCCTACATTCTAAGACGTGACTGGAGAGTCGGGTTACAACCAAACGTGTCCCGTTGCACAAGCCCATAGAATGATCCATGTTCCGCAATAGCATAACTGGAGTTCCCACCTTCAAATGCAACTCATGATTTGGTGTACCAGAACATTTGAGAGAATTCAAGAACTCGGGAGTGTGGATTTCTGACAAGAAGTCAGAATTCACATCGGATTTACACGTACTGTCGGAGCTCAAATATACACGACCTTCTGTCAAATTCAACGATGACATGTATTGGTTGATAGACTCAACAATCTCCAATGTAGGTGCAAGTATGGCTCTGTCCTTCAGATAACTTGGATCATCGGTTGCATTCTTAAACATTGGATACGTGCTCTCAACAATTGCAGCAATGGGATCATCGGATGGTGCTATTAACAGATCATCAGGTATTTCAATGGAGGCACAACCATCGTTATAACCTCCAATAGTACCATCTCCGATGCTAGCAATCCAATCAGCAAATTTAGAAAGCTCCTCACGTTCATCCGAATCATCAAGGCTCTGAAGACGCATATTTTTCGTTAGCCTAAGCACTGTACAATCTTGCCAAATGGTTGAAGCATTTAACGAAGCATTAACAATCTGTTGACGATTCCCCTTTGGAATCACCGGGAGAATTTGTCGAAAATCTCCACCAAAAACGACAGTCTTGCCGCCAAAAGGTTTGTAATGATTGGTCGGGTTGACCGTTCCCATGACTGCCTGAAATGACGTTTGAACAGCTTCAAAGCAATGCTTATGCATCATTGGAGCTTCGTCCCATATAATGAGGGAGGACCTTATAATTAGCTCTGCCAGAGGGCTAGCTTGGTTGATATCACAAGACGAATTTTCGTGAAGATTAATAGGTATACCAAAGCGAGAGTGTGCAGTTCTTCCACCAGGCAACAGAAGAGAAGCTATTCCACTCGATGCAACACAAAGCACGATCTCACCCTTTGATCGTAATCCGGCAGCTAAAGTCTTCCACAAGTATGTCTTACCAGTTCCGCCATAACCGTAGACAAAAAAAACACCGCCCTGACCTGAGTCTACCGCTGCCATAATTTTTGAATAAACTCCTTTCTGTTCGTCAGTCATATCTCTAAGAAGAGTACTGTGCTCGACTGATAAGGCCTTGCATAACTTAGCTCATCCAAAATCAGACGATTTGTATTTGTAGTAAAACTGGTCATATCAGGAAAAGGCATTGTTGGATATTCCCGAAGACTCGTGCCGCGACGTCTCAACAGATGTTCGATTTCAGCGAGAGCTAAATTCTTTTTATCTGCATCACTGAGTTGCAAACCTAAGAACGAAAAGGATTGAAAGTCAGCATTTTATAAAAATGGAATACAATACTTAAACAGGATATAAAAATTAATAAAATAAACAATAAAACGTAAATAGAAAATAAGTCACATACATTCATTATTGAAGAGAAGACGTTGTCTATAGATGATGTCATCAGAGAGAAAATCCACACACGTTTCCCAGACGTGCTCGGGCCTACCTAACGAACCCGATACCAACAACGTCGCAAACATACGTCGGAGAGAATCAGCAGATGCCCAATGACTTGCCTCGGATATGCCATCAACGTACTCACGATCGTCACCCAACAAACCTAGTGCATGGCAAGCATCACGATACGACGAATATTGAACGTTGTCGACCTTCATATAATCCTCGTGGCAAGTTGCTCCGCGTATTACATTAACCAAACACCTCAAATAGAAATTATCGCCAGCGTTCGGAGGGACATAGCGCAGACGGGCTATAGCACCTTCTCTGATTCGAGGAGTCCACTCTCTCAAAGTTGTGTTCCAAACAAATTTCGATGGTGCCTCGACATAAGTAAGCTCCCTCGCCTCAGGATATATCTTGTTCGCTTCCATCCATGCCAAAAATTGACTCTCATTTACAGTGGGTTTTTTAATAACCTCATCAATTCGATCTTCATCCTCAAAAATAACATATTGTTCGCCTTTCAAGTGGAAACTCAAACGTTGTACGGGAGGTTTTTTATACTGAAGTTCATAACCCAATAACCTCCAAGCCGCCTCACACGAAGAAACATATCTACAGTCATAGAACATGTTAATCTCGTCAACAGGCTTTTCAGGCTCTCCGTCTCCAGTCGACTGATAAAACGATGCGGTGACACGATCATTGCCTTTATTGACATATTTGAAGAGGTACTTGATGGACCGGGACTGATTGCACCACTCAACATTTATGTGAGCACCATACTTCATCAACAATTTACGATTGTGGGGCACGACAAAACCGTTATGGACAACTACACCATTTTTCTCTATATGCCTTCCATTGTCCCGACGTCTGTAACGCGGATAGCCTTCATCATCAACAGACGTGAATTCAAGAAATGCTTTTGGAAAACGTTTACTACATTTCCCGTCAACCATGCACGGAGATTGCTTTCTGGCCAATCCGCACGGGCCGTGGATCATGTGTTCCTTTACAGCTTCATAATAAGACGGATCTGAAGACTCATCAGGTATCTCAGCAGATATGATTCTATCTATGTCAGAAGGATCTGGAAATTTGTTTTCTTTTGCTAAAAAAATCAGTATATGAGCATGAGGCAATCCGCGTTTTTGAAATTCAACAGTGTATACAACTGAAAATAAAAAAAAAAAAAGATAAAAACGAATGTCAGACAAGTATGAAGGTTACTGTAAACAAATTCAAAAATTAAATCAAAATATGGAAACAAATGATAATACCTGCTATCACTTTACCAAACATTTGATTGTGACGAAAATCCTTTATCAGCTGCTTTAATTTTGATCTAAAAACCCTACAAACGATATCGGGACGATCCTCAGGACGTAAGTTCCTTGGGCCTAAAAAACGAAGGATCTCTGGCCACTTTGGGTTGCATGTGAATGTTATAAACAGATCTGGATAACCTGCCCATCTACATATCGCCATTGCATCCTGATAGTTCTGAATCATATTTCGAGCCCCTCCAGTGAAAGAAGAAGGTAGAATTATTCTCTTTCCTCTAGATCCTGGATCGATATCACCACGAAGAACAGCATCCGCCAACCCATTGTACATGTCGCACCGTAACCGAGATTGATTGAAGCGGATATATCTCAATCTCGATGATTCAACCATGGTATATGCATCAACAATAAATTGTTGAAACAGTCTCCTGGCCGAAAGAATAGTTGATGGTTCGTGATTTCTATCGTGGATCCGATAAGCAAAATATTCTCTGATACTCACAGTTGTTCGACCATCCTCTTTTACTTCTTTCAGATCAGAAAATGGTATATCTTCTCTGTACCCATCCTCTCCATATGGCAACAATAGAGGATATTGTAAAGCCAAATAAGAAGCATTAAGTTCATTGATCCTCTGTAGGCGTCCACTTTTGGTTTCAACCAATATATCCCTTTCACCCATTGCTTGATCAAAGTCTCCAACGACCAATGCAGCAACTTCAGAACTTGTAGGCAAATTATAACATCTCCCATCACTATATCTCCTTCCAATTAGACGAATCTTGAGATCATTTTGGCCGTGATGTTGAATTCTTTCCTTAGCCATACGAAACGACTTAACCAGTTCATTGTGCTCGTCTAACATTGTTGTCAAGCGAGCAACAATTTCTTCATGCAAATCAGAATTACCGTCAGAGTTCCTATAAGAAATAAAAATTTAAAATGATAATCAGATCCACAAATATGTAATGAAAAATTTATTATTATACACTAAAAATTATAAAATCATAAATAACCTCATAATATGTTACGGAAATTACTAACCTGACTGCATTCATTCTATTGGATAATTCATTGTCTGTATCATAGATATAAAGTTGCGCAAATTTTGGAGTTGCACCGTCGGATGGAAGTAGACTACCCATCAGATGATAGTTTTGGCCGTGTAAAGTGAATACCGGAGGACCTGTACCATTGTTGATGCCTGCATCAATCTTCCCGCCCAAAGAAGTAAAGCCAAACATACTGTTATACGATCTGATATTCTCCTGAAAGTGTTTGCTATTGCGGCTATCTCCGTGTAAAAGCTCATTTAAATATGCAGGTGGACTATGGAGAACAGGCAGTTGTATCGCCCCGTTCATACAACAACCCTTATATTCAGGAGGATCAGTTGCCTTTGTAGAAGACTTGCGCTCCACATACCAAAACAGTGCTCCGCAATAAATACATTGGCAGTTAGCATCACCCATGTCCCAATATTCTGAAAAATAGAAAAAAAAAATTTAAAAATATATTAAATTGCAACAAATGAGATTAAAAAAAAAGTATTATTAACGTAAAACATACCGGATTGGGCAGATGTGGATCCAATAATCTTCTTCGGTCTACCACGTTTTTTTTGGGGAACAGGAAGGGGGACGACACCATCCACGGTCTGACCGACTACATAATTGAAGTCAGTAGTCAAAGAACTCATTACGTAAAAAACATATTAAATAGCAAAAATGAATTGACAAAACAAAAGAAATATAATGTTTTATTAACGTAATACAAACCAGATTGGGTCGATGTGGTTCCAATAATCTTTTTTGGTCTACCAGGTTTTCTCTTGGGCACGGGAAAGGGGACAACATCATCAACGGTATGATCGACTACACAATTGAAGTAAGTAGACAAACAACTAATTATGTAAAAAGCATATTAAATTGCAAAAAATAAAGTATAAAAAAATAAATTCAATGTTTTATTAGCGTAAAACATACCAGGTTGGGTCGATGTAGATACAACAATCTTTTTCGGTCTACCACGTTTTTTTTTGGGAACCGGAAGGGAGACAACATCATCCACGGTGAGATCGACAGCATCATGCAACTCAATAGGCATAGACCTCTTTTTATCTCTATTAATAGGTGGTACAATATTCCTTGGAAGATAAACTGTACATTTTTTTTAATATATTTAATTATTATAAGTAATAAAATAATCTAACGGTAATGAATGATATAAATCTTACATGTGTTTGATTGATTTGGGGACATATTATGCCAAACTCGAGAACCATTTTCATCACCAGTATCACTTGTAAGGTCTATGACAATGCTTTGGATACTATGTTTTGCGACACCAGATAATGGCGTGATATGAGGACTATGTAACGCACTTTGATACTTATAGGACGTACAACCCAAATTATTTGAGCTTTTTTGAGGAATCAAAGATGATACATGGCTCGATGGTGACGTCATACAACCTGTTTATATCAATATTTAATAATTGATAAATTAACAATATAAAATTTATAAGATAAAAAAAAAAAACATACACATTGAGTAATTATAAAAATGAATAAACTAAACTATATTATACCTGGTGTAGTATTGTATTTAGTCTGAACAATTGGTGTGGAAGAACAACCAGTTCCAATGACTAAATTTTAAAAAATAAATTTCTTTATTAGTATAGTAAATAATAAATAATAAATAATAAATAAAGTATATAATGCATTTTAAGTATGAAGTGAATAACATTATACCATTTGTAACATCAGATAATGGTAAGAGTTGAGAACCATGCAACACACTATGATATTGATAGGAAGAAATGTTCGACTGTTTATGCTTTCGTTGTGCAATAAAAGATGATCCATTGACAACGGGTGGTGTCATAGAGCCTGCAAAATGTAGAATAAGGATATATTAGACATTTAAAAAAATGATTTAATAATTAAAATAACAAACTAATAATTTAAAAAATTGTTTAATATCTGTTTGTACATTTTTATAAACACATGTGACAGTTTTATAATACCTTAATAGTTGATTTGTTAATTTTCAGCACATCATCTAAACAAATAAATAGATTTGATCCTTAAGAAGTTAGAAAAACACATAACATTACGGCCCAAACTAATACATACATTGGGCCCAACACATTATTAGACCCAATGAAAGTCATTCCAACAGAAATAAGCCCAAAAAAAATAATACACATCTGATCTAACGGCTTAAAATCGTCATAATAATTGGACGGTTATCATTCGTTCAATCGAGTATAAAAGGCGAAAAAACCCGAAAACATAGGGTTTTCTCATTTTTTCGCAGCTTCTAGATCTCTTTTCCATTTTTTCTTTCGGTTGTTTCGTTTTTCATCAGAAAAAATTTGGATCTACAATTTGAATCGATTGTTTTTCATATGCATCTTAGTTCTTCGTTTCAATTTCATATGTTTCCAAAACGGGGGTGTTTTTTATCTTTTTTTTCTTCAAATTTTGTTTGTATTTCCTTTGAAACCCTATGTTATATACCATTTTTTTTTTTTTATTTTCGATTTCCTTATGAAAATCGAGTACCAGACTCTCTGAATACTGGATATTTGTGTGGATCTTCAATTTTTTTGTTTGTTCTTTACCTTTTATTTTTTTTTTTTAAAACAAAACTGTATGTTCTGGGTGAAGATCTTTCAATTTTTCGTTATCTATACGAAAAAATATTCACAAAATTATGTGAATCCTTTATTTGCTGGCGGATCTTATTAAAAAACCCTATGTTCAGAGGTTTTTTAAAAACAATTTCCAATTCGATTTTTTATTCGCTGTTCTTATGCATGTTGGTGTTTTTTTTGTTCCAGGTTTTTCAAAAAAAAAAAAAATTCCGATCAATTGGTAGAAAAAATAATTATGTTTTAGTTCCAGATGGTTGTTTTTTAGAAAATTTTGACTACATTTTTTATGAAATGTGTATGATTTCAAAGGCGTGTTTATAACTGGTAATCTGCTGTTTATTATCTTATATGAGTTCAAATCGTTAATGTTTTGGAATGGGATTTTACACTTGCAGTTAGTTGATTTCTGAAGTTTATAATTCGAAGATTAAAAGAGTCTTGTTTTCGCTGAATCTATTTGGTAAAATTTGAGATTACTGATCGAAGTAATGTTAGAATATATATATATATATATATGCCTATACTTGTTCTTTACTGTAAAATTGCGTTTTCAAATGTAGATGGATGTGAAGACATGGCTATCAGATACTGGGCATTTGGGAAAAAAGGTACTTACAGCTATAAGTTGTGTATTGCTATTCAGTAACATAAATTACACACAAAACTATAATCCTTTGAATGCTAATCACTATCACTTGTTATTTTATGCATGTAAATTGTGAACGAATTTGGAGCGCACCAAATACATGTTCCTTTCAGGGCAAGACAAACAGAGGTAAAACCATAACATTACATATATGAAATATTAGATTCAAATAATAAACTCATAACCGTTGACTGCACATATATTTACTAAGAAACATTAAAAATCTGATTAAGAGTAATTAGTTTTGAAAAAATACTTTCACAGCAACATATACAAAAACTGAAGTACCAAATGAATAATCATGAACATTACCTTTATTTGTATCATCGCTTGTTGTCCTCTGTTCGACTTCTTTCAATGGAGTTGCTTGCTTTACTGTTGCACTATAAGGTTTATCCCTCTGTTGTACTTCTTTCACTCGAATTGCTTGCTTTCCTTGTGAACCATTGCAGTTGTCCCTCCGTTTAACTTCGTTTACTGGAATCGGTTGATTTCTTTTTGCACCGTATGATTTATCCATGGCTTTATGTAACTGTGCTAGTTACCTGATTTTGAACAAAAATAATAGACATGGATTGTTATAATCATTAGAATTGAATAGTAGTTTGACAATAAATAAGTTGAGGGAAGACGATATACAGATTTAACCTACGATGAAGTTGCAGTCAAACGAAATAACCCTAGATGAAACATATATATATATATAGTTCTATATCGTGTGTTTATGTTTAGATTAAAAAGAATATTAGATTACCACAAACAGGATATTGGCTGAATCCCTACAATATAGGAGAAAGACTCCTAGTTATATAGGAATGTGTAATTAGATAGAATCTTTGCGAATATTTAGATTTCCATGCACTTGCTAGTATAAAAACAATCAATAAGACTAAAAATAATTGAAAAGATATGGGATAAATATATTTGTTAATATGAGCTATCACATAGGGCACGTGTTAGTAGGAAAGTTAAATAAATTTTAATTGAAATTGGGATGTTCAAATATTGTATGTACACGAATCTTTGTTCGTAATAGAACCGTCTTAATACGCTTTTCTCTAGATGTTTGGATCGATTAGGATCCTGTTTATTTTGAATTCAATATTCTCTTTCAATTGATGTGGAAGAATTACATTTTTTTTTTTTTACAAATAACACTTCTAATTATAAACGCGTAATAGTCAATCTATATAGTAAACACGAAATTAATATGAGTAGTTCAAAAAACACAAAATCAATTCAAATCAATTCATATCTCTTTATAAAACTATATTTTTTATACTATGTCTTATTTTTTCTCATCATAATTTATCTAACAATAAAGATTTGTTGAAAAAAAAAATGCCTTCGGAACTTAAAGACATGTCAAATTTAATTTCATTTTCAATTGAGTTGAATATGACAAATTACTCGTATCAAATCATATATTTGGATTACTGTAGTTAGACCTACAACTTATTATTTTTTAAGTTAATCGTTTAGTTTTATTGCAATAATTGATTTAAAAAAATATAAGTTTAATTTATTTACAATCGTTTCAATATTAAATATTTTATTACACAATATCGACACATATATTTAATTAGTTATATAATATTTTCTATTGGACTT